ATCAAAGGATATCCTCTACTATTAGAGAATATTCATCTTGACAAGAAATTCTCTATATATTAAGATATCTCTGACAAGGGCTATAGCTCAGTTCGGTAGAGCAACTCGTTTACACGTGCGCCAATGCTTTTCAAGGGAGCTTATTATGCAATGAACATAGTGGATCTTCTTGCAAAATCAATGTCTTACTTCATGGATTCGAGAGAATAGGAGAAAAGTCGCCTGACAAATAGTTGGTTCAGTCCGATTCAGGTACCAATCCAGGTGCCTAAACAAATAGAACCTTTATTGATTTGCTAGTTGATAAGGTAAATATCCAGCCCACTAAATGCTAGGCTTAATGAGGATAAGGGCCTCCAAAAAAATTCTTTTTGTTCTATGAACTTTAAGGTGTATGAAGTCTCATAGTCAACTCTTGTAGCGGAACGATAGAGACTCTATTTCACTTAGGTTGATTTAATTTAGGCCGGAGGCAGACCTAAGTCAAGGTAATCCTCCTTTGAAACACTTTGGTATTGCTCTTAGATAGATCATAATACAAATAATCAATCAGAGCGCAGGGAGTCATCTCATTATCTTTCCGTAAAGAAAAACTATGGTGGACTAACTGATCTTTCTATCAGTTGATAAAAGAGCCCAATGCAAAAAAATGCATGTTGGGTCTTTGAAACAGTTCGAATCATTTCGATAATAATCCGTTTGATCTGTTTTACCGAGAAGGTCTACGGTTCGAATCCGTATAGCCCTAATATGTCCTTTTTTAGATTTTAGGAGAGATATCCTACGTTTCCTTTAGTATAGTTTTCATTTCCCTATTAGTACTTGTTTATAGACTGGACAGGCGCCTGCGCCATAAAATAGAGATAAAAGGATTACCAGAGGCTCATTCATCGAAAATTATAGAGACAGGAAAAGAAAAATGAATTTCTATCAAATCAACTGCAAGATGTTCTCCATCTTGCAAATTCCTACTTTGTTTGAAGTATATTACTTTGCTTATCTATATCTATAGATTACCTAAATCTAAATCAATCTACGTTCTGAAATAGAGTTCTTTATTTTTATAGAATTACTCCTCATTAGGCTGCATACATTAGTCATCCTATCTTAATTAGGCTCTAATTCGTAGTATTTTCGTTTTTATTCCTTTTTCTAGAGATTCTAGAGAAAATGAGACAAAGTGAAGCGAGAGAGTTTTGTTTCTATAAGAATTATGTCTCCACCATACCTAAATAGAAAGGAAATCAAAAAGAAAGGGAGTCGGGATTCCATTGGATGAATCTTTAAAGAAGACGTGGCAAAGAGGAAACAAAGGCTAAACTAAGCCCTTTGGTTTGAGAAAAACCGATCCTTGTTTCACCGAGGAAAAAAGAGAAATTCTGTAAAAATTGACAATGCTGACTTGAATTGACTAATTCAGTTCCGCCTATTCCACATTAATGGGAGTACATTTATGTTTCTGCTTCACGAATATGATATTTTTTGGGCATTTCTAATAATAGCAAGCCTTATTCCTATTTTTAGCATTTTGGATTTCAGCACTTTTAGCTCCGGTTCGTGAAGGACCAGAGAAGCTTTCTAGTTATGAATCGGGTATAGAACCCATGGGGGGGCTTGGTTACAATTCCGAATACGCTATTACATGTTTGCGCTAGTTTTTGTTGTTTTTGATGTGGAAACGGTCTTTCTCTACCCTTGGGCAATGAGTTTCGACGTATTGGGTATATCCGTTTTTATCGAAGCTTTCATTTTCGTGCTTATCCTAGTTGTTGGTTTAGTTTATGCATGGCGAAAAGGAGCCTTGGAATGGTCTTAACTGAATATTCAGACAAAAAAAAAGAAGGAAAAGATTCCATTAAGACAGTTATGAGTTTGATTGAGTTTCCCCTACTTGACCAAACAAGTTCCAATTCCGTTATTTCAACTACACTAAAAGATCTTTCGAATTGGTCAAGACTCTCTAGTTTATGGCCCCTTCTATATGGTACCTGTTGTTGTTTCATTGAATTTGCTTCATTAATAGGCTCACGATTCGACTTTGATCGTTATGGATTGGTACCAAGATCAAGTCCTAGGCAAGCGGACCTAATTTTAACAGCCGGTACAGTAACAATGAAAATGGCTCCCTCTTTAGTGAGATTATATGAGCAAATGCCTGAACCAAAATACGTCATTGCTATGGGAGCTTGTACTATTACTGGTGGAATGTTCAGTATGGATTCCTATAGTACTTTTGAACCAATGTTCCCTTGCGAGTCTACATGAATGAGTTCAAGAACTGATCCCGTGCCTGCTGCATCATCGCGTCGAAATCTTTCTTCTGATCAGGTGTGAATTTTTTTGGATCAATGGGCACGACGTTTCCTTCATTGAAGTCCGTCAATCCCAACTTCTGGATCTTTTCCTTAACAGTGCCTAGACTAGCCGGGGATGGCGACAGCGGTGGTTTCTCAGCCATGAGGAAGAACTGCTTGCTGACTTCTTATCTGTCCCACCAGGCGTGCCAAAAGCGTGTTGACGTAAAACACGAGGCCTGGGAGATCTGCTTAACTCCAGTGCAGGTCCAAAGCTCACCTTCGAGTGTGTTAGCGTGCTAGTTGATTTGATCCTACAATCAACAAGAAATAGAAACAAAGAGATCGCGGTTAAATCTATAAATGATAGCCGATCGGCTAAGCGCCGATAACATATCATTTATCTTTGAGCCGATGTCATATGTCAATCGATCGACGACTATAAATAGATAATAAAGAACTAAACCTACTCGATCGGCTGTAGATATTACCAATATATAGTTCTTATATCGATATATATTTAAATCAAGTGATTGGGATAGATCGGTCGCCATGTCGAGACAGTATAAATCACTTGGATCGAAATATATATTAATAACAGGACTATATATGTTTATAGCATAGCCGATCATATAGATCTAGCATGTATCGGCTAATACTCCGATACTACTCTATATCAAGATATTAAAACAAGTATAATATATCAAACAAAAGCTTAATATACTTAAATGCAATAAGATCTTGACATAAAGGGCGGATTTAACATGTCACTAAAACATATAGAGCGAATATGGTTAAATCAGATAAAATCGGCTGAAACTCCGATACTACCCTAATCGGCAACCAGAAGGCAGGCTAGAGATTGATATTCTAAGCACGACTTAATAGATCAAACTCAACTGATGCAGCATTAAGTATGAAAAGAAGAACAATATCTAGACAATCAAGCCGCTGGAAGTTTCATAGAGTGGTGGATATCTTATATAATCTAAATCAACATCAAAATCTAACCTAATCGGCTGCCCTCTACTAACAGATGTTAGCCGATTGTAGGTTAGATAGTGATATTGCCAGAGATTATGTACGATATATGATAACTCGACGAATTACGTAAACAAGATTAGAGTATCATAAAGATGGAAGCACTAATCCCGATAACACAAGCCATCATAACAAGTTTTACCTCTTGTTGAAGATCGAAACCAATGCAGCTCAACCCGAAAGCAAGAACTCGTCGAAATAAAACTAAAGCAAAAAGGTGGCGATGCGCCGAAATTGTATTGAACTTGTGTGTGTAATTACATAGGGCTCGGGGTCTATTTATACCCGAGAATTACAAGATATGTCCATACCGGACACGACTATTATCTCTAACAAACTCTAAGATACCACAAGTCTTTACGGCAGACTTTTGCCCAAGCATATCTCTAAGGAAATTACATAAAATGTCCTAATTAATAGATACAATTGCCTTCCCAGGACTCTATCCATGCGTGGCAATCATCTTGAAGCACCTCAACCCAACCCGATGTCGTACACCAAGTCGTATTGTTGGAATCGGCTGTATCACCTAACCAAGTCTGACTCCAACTCAGCCGATCCAACCGTAGCCGATCCGGACTTCAGCCGATTCTTACTCTGTTTCCGCGACAATCTTCATCTTCGACCCCGCTTCAATCTAATCTTCATCTCCGATACTGATATTACCAAATTTGGTCGTTAACAGATGAGGCCTTCCATTTGGGCACGCGGCGAGTCGACGTCGCTGCGTGCAGTGGTGGTCTAGCCCCTGCCAGCCTTGGGAGGAGCAGCCGCGTCTGTGCGCCATCGACCCTGCTAAGGCAGGGCCGGGCTTGGTTGCCTCACGGCCGCTGCCATCTCTAGAGCACGCTCATGAGCAGGCACACGGCATCGTCGCCGGCGGTGGAGGTCGCGCCAGGCGGCGCCCTCCCCTGGCGAGTCGCTGCCTCGCCTATACTTGCCAAAATCAGGATGTCCCCACTGCCCGTCGATGGCCGCCGCATCTACCGCCCTCGCCGCCACTCCAACTCCCGCCCGGCGCCCGACCCACGGTGCCGCTGTCGGTCGATGGCCGCCGCATCTACTGCCCTCGTCGTCCCCACCGCTGCTCCAGCTCCCACCCGGCGCCACGCCACCGCTGCTAGTCCCGACCGCCAGACGCCGCCACCATCCCTACTACCGCTCCGGTGGTAAAGAGAGGCTAGGGAAGAGAATGAGAGAAGGGAGAGAGAGGGAGGAAGAAGGGGAGGAGAGGAGGATGACTGGGGGCCTCACATGTCAGTGGGTCCCCCGTGTCAGTGGCCCCGCATGTCATCCTCTGTGTGAATAATAAATGAATTATTTTTTAAAATTCTAATGCCACCTAAGCGCCACGTCAACGCCACGTGTAAAGGAGATCCGGTCAATACCACCACGTAGGCGTCACGTCAGCAAAACCGCCCAGGGAGTCAAATTGCACCGGTTTTAAGAGTTTAGAGGTGAAGATATCCGGTTTTGTGGTTTAGGGTCACAGATTAGATTTCGATCACTTATAAGGGTCACAAAGTGAACTTATTCCACAGGACTATAATGGCTTTGGCAAAAATACACAGCAGTAGTAAGTACCGTACCAGCACATAAACACAGTGCAAACAGTGATCTAGTGGAGAAAAAAAGGCCTGCCTATGATATGAAAAGATCAAGAGATTGCTTAAAACAGTCATATTATTGATTCAGCATCAAAAGATCAGACTCCCAATCAGACAGGTGAAAAAAAAGAGATTGCTATAATGATGATTACTTCAAGCAAATGCACAAAGATGACTGATTCCATGGTAATCAACAGAACAATCTAGCAGTGTGTAGTAGCCTCACCAAGCAACAAAGGAGACTTACACAGATGAACAGCCGGTGAAAATGTAGGTGAGCTAGGTATAACACAATAGCTACAAAGAATTGTACAAAATGCAGAGCAATGTCTTGGCACGGCAGAGAAAGAGATGGCAACACTCTTGATCATCTGCCCATGTACGCTAGTGTACACCGTTTCTTCTTATTCCAGCTTCTCAAGCTCACCCATTCGCTCTATTATTGCCTGAAAGAAAACAAAAGTGATATCAAGGACTACCCAAGGTTGAAGTTATCACATAAGGTCAAATGCTGTTCCTTAATTCATAGACTTCAGAAGTAACAATTGTCACCAAGTTTTCATGGGGCACAAAATGTAAAAGAAAGAGGGTCAATTTGATGCTAATATATGCTGTCAAGTTTACAAACCAAAGCTTAGTTTTGATACTGCAAAGCGCAAACCGACAAAGACATTGATATGAAAGAGAGAATCACATTGAGCATACACAGATGCCTCTTAGACCTCTACAGTTCCATTATTCAGCTCACTTCATATTCCTTAACATCAGTTATTTGTGATAGTACACATGAAGACTTCATAGTTAGTGCACTTCAGCATGCATCTACAGCATACGTGAGGTGGTGAGGGCATTCAGCATGAGAATCCTGACCCAATGTACTGGAACAAAATGCAGAACAATTGGCATTCCAAAAATCATTATGTTTTAAATTCCATTTCCACCAAAACAAATAGGCAGTTAGTTGCATTTAGGCTGCTACAGCAGTTCAGTTGGTATCTTGATTCTGTGAAAATTGCAACCATGAAATGCCATATTTGAAACTAAGCTCCACACTGGAGTGAGGGCAAGATGTGTTTATCATCCTAGCATGAGTAGGTGCAGAAAAGTTTTTATTGTACCATTAATATAATGCATAAAATGTATAATTTACAACGTCATTATGTTACACTACATGCTGGATTGCTGGGAACAAATGTAAACTTGCACCAATGTTATAACAGACAGAACAGGACACATGGTTGACAGATGTATGTATTATGATAGAAAAAAGATGTACCCTTTTGCTTGTCTCTTGAAGTTCTCCAGCGAGAATAAACTCATCCAATATCAAATAAACCTACAGAACATAGCATAACAATAAGAAACAAAATTCACAGATTACTTCTGCCCATGGCCTTTATTCAAAACTTATAAGATGTGGCAAAATCATTTAGAAAAACAAGAAGTATAATTGGTTGGATTTGGTCAAGATAGTAGTTAAGATCAGAATTATTGGTAGGATTTGGTCAAGATAATAGTTAAGATCAGAATTACAATATTATACATTCCAAATTCAGTTAATGCTTTGGAGTGAATAATTGTCAGATTGGGACATGAGGTAAATTATTGTCTAATGCAAATAAAATTTGATTATTGACCCTATTGGGAAAGAATAGAAAATACATATGGGACCACGACACGGTATCATATTATATTACAATGTTTATCAGTGTATAACTATAGCTGAAACTTTAAAATACAATATCCTTTGCATAACAGCAACACTTATCTCATTGACCCAAGTATCGAGTGATATGCAAGAAAATACGATCAACTTAATATCAGAAATAACTAAAAGGAAACAAAGTAATTTTGCTCAGATTAGGCCAGTAATGTTATGTTTTCAGGAGTACCATGCCACTGTTCTGAGCTGTATAATGACTCATCCCATGAAGGATGGTTCTCGATCAAATGAAAAAAAAAAGAAGAAAAAGAACGCCAGAAGAAGTTAACAGCTCTAACTCTAACAGCATAATATAGAAGTGTTGTATAAAGTTGCACGATTCTGCATCATGTTCAAACTTTTCCAGTGCAAGGAAAAATACGTAAGAAAAGCATTGGCCAATAAAATTTCACTTCTGCTTAAACATGAGAAAGGAGTGCAATTGGATCATGAGTATCATAATTGTCATACTGATACAGGAATAGCCTGTTGAGAAATAGCTGTTACCTTGTGGAAATTAAATACTAAGTCGAGTTCACACACATTGCTGAAGAAATGATCTAATATCTCGACAAACAAGTGGATGCATTCCAAGTATGCCAACTCATTGTCAGTGATATCCACACACATTGAGAAAAACAGTCCTGCATATCGCCTGTATATAACTTTATGCGTCCGGAACTGCATGAAAATTATCACAAAGAAAGTGAATATACTGATTCCCATATACCAAAGACTGCTGTCAGAAGTAACATTTTGAAACTTGATGATACTCCCAACATGTAGTATGGTCTAAAAACTGCAGAACCAGCTACCAACAAACAAAAAGATGAAAGTTTTTTTTTTTGTGATGTCGTCTATTAACGGCATATTACATGAAGATAGGTTTAGAATCTCAAGATACTATGTTTCATAGGCTTAGGATTTCTAGATTAGTCATGTAGTAAGATCACTAACTGTACAGAGAGCAGCTTGCGGTCAAGACTCAAGATCAATCCAGCCCCCATAAAGTAAGCATGCTAAGTAACAAAATTCCAAATTAGTAAGAAAATTATCCATCAATGATACTAAAGTTTCAAGATATCTATTCTATGGATAAATTATTTGCCATGTCAATACTTCAAATCAGCTAGCAGAGCACAGAATCTTTTTTTAAAAAAATTCCAGGGTCAAAATTATCTACCACTGCAGACATTTTCTTTAGGGATTCACTCTGAACTAAACAAGGATCCAATTGCTATCCATGCACCTCAATTACTGAACTAAACAAGGAACGAATGCATTGCAGCACAGGGAAAATAATACTGAGTTCACCAAAAGAAAGGCATATAATAAACATAGATTAAGAGCCCATTAGCCTGACTTGGTAGATTTCTCAGCAGACTACTATTTAAAATCTCATGCCACTTTATGAACTTTACAACCCTATTACTAGCAGAGCTAAGGCACTGAACAAGATTAATGATTTCGTTTTCAACACACTATGCGAAGTACAGATAACAAGTTACTATTGTTGAATAACAAAAACACTCAATCTTCAGATTCTTGCTTCATCGCATATAACCAGAAGCATAATTCCCTGTATATAACTGAAAGCACCAGCCGAGCCAAAATCACAACCTTTCTAGGTGCCATGCTATGCAGGAACCACCTAAATCCAACAGTATCTACAATTCTAAATCGACCGAGTTCATTCAATCCTACGAGCAGTCCAGGCCAAGAACATGCTCGATCTGAGATTACCCACAAGAGAGCAAAAGCAAAGACCTTTACGCAGCTCTTGGTTTTCTTCTACCATGAATCGCCTAAGAATCGCATAACTCCCCCCAAAATAAAAGATCAAGAACTCACCTCAACGAAGTTGGTGAACTTGGGATCCCGGTTGACCACCAGCCGATGCACCTGCGACCAAGAAAAGACCCAGATGAACACCCACAAATCGAACCAGCGCCAAGATGGAATCTCCTTTGCTGGATCCCCCTCACCTCGTACTCGACCTTGTGCTTCTCCGAGTCCTCGAGCGGGACGTAGTACTTGGCCAGCCGCGTCTTCCCCTGCCGATTCTGCAGCAGGATGAACCGGATCTGCAGCCCATTCCGGGAAGAACAGGTACGGTTTCAGATCGCGGAGAGGGGGGGAACAGAAGAGGCTGAATGCGGGATCTTTACCATGGCGGAGGATGACGGCGATCGCTGGTGCTCGTGGATTTGGGGGGCGGGGCGCGATTTGGAGCTTTGGGAGGAGGAAAGGCAGGAAAGATGCGTTCTTTTTTTCTTTTCGATTTTCTCTTGGTTTTGGAAGGTTGGTCGCCTGGTTGGGTTTACACCTGCTGAAATGTCTCCCTTGTGTCAGCCATCTCTTCTATATTTTTGACCAAATTGATAATCCATAAGAATATGGTATAATAAAAAACCTTATAGTTTTCTTTGGAGCATCGCAAATGTAAAATTAAAAAAAAAATAATGTATCTAAACTGTGGAATCCCTAAAATACTAAGCAAAGTGTAAAAAGGGTGTATGAAAAAAAAGTATTGGTTATTTTTGTTAAGTGTCTTATATTAGCAGTGGCGTAGTTAGAGGGTAGTCCATGTTGACTCGAAACTATCGTTTATTTTTATCCAAAATGACCCATCCAGTAGCATGTAGCATGAGATAGATCACAAAGTAGGCATATAAGTTCGTCATTAGGTGCTAGGTTACCAAGTCTTGAGTATCCGAGCGAATGAAGTAGATAATTAATTTTCTTTCATTAAATATCTAGTACTTGTTAACTTGTACTTGTGTGAGGTTTAGTTTGTTATATTATTTTCAAATTATGAATTTTCTGGTTGATTTGACTTAAAATTTATACAAGTCTATTAGATTATATTTACGGTGTTTAGAATTGGTGTAGAGTATGATGCATAACCAACCAATAGTTTTGACTTATACCACTCATTCAAAAGGTTTCCTTACTACCCATCAATCAATTAGTTCATCTCTAGTGATATAAAAATCAAACCAACACTATTGTTGGAGCCAAAAACTGAACATTGTGACTTGCACCATTTGAAATAAAATTGGAAGTGCATTTGGATTTTGAGGACGTGGTTTTTACTTATGCCCTGTTTGGTAGAGCTCCAACTCATAAATTTAACTTCAGGAGTTGGGTTTGAAGTGGAGTTGTGGAAAAGTATAAACTCAGCTACACCTCTAATTTATTTTGTGAGATCACTCCACCCAGCTCTACTCCCATTTTAGATAAAACTAAAACTATTTGGTAAACTCCAACTCCAGCAAAGGTGGAGGTAGAGGCGGAGTCATCCCAACCACCCTTAATTCCTAGAATTTAGCTTTAGAGAACATGTCACTGGTAAAGAAACTATCTTTGGTCAGTCGACCAGATTTCACAATAGTCCCGGTTGTATTAAAAACCAGGACTAAAAACATCTTTAATCCCGGTTTAAAAGCTCCAGGATACTTTTCAATCTTTAGTACCGGTTGGTGTTACCAACCGGGACTAAAGATCTATTTGTAGTCCCGGTTGATAACACCAACCGAAAAAAGATCTATTTGTAGGAAAAAAGATCGACGCGGAGATCGGAGAGGCGTGCACGATCAGATCGAGGTATCTCCTCCTCTCCTTTAACTCCTCTCCTCAACCTTATCTATTCCTCTCCTTCTCCTCTCTACTGCAGCGGCGGGGCGCGGAGGGCTGGCCTAGCGGCCGGCCGGCCAACGCGGCGAGGCAGCGGCCTGCGCCGGCGGTTTTTTTCTTTCTTTTTTTGGGAGAACTTGTGATTTGGATCTGAGATTGGTGTGTGATGTATTTGATTTGTGTGTGATGTGAATATGTGATGAATTTTGTAGAAGTTGTGATGTAATTTTTTTTTAAGATTTTGTGATGTATTTGAGATGATCGATTTGTGGATTTGGAGGCAATTTGAGGATGATTGATTTGGGATTTTAGGGACGGGATGGGGTGAAATCAATATATTAAAAACAATGAAGAAAAGAAAAGAATAAAGAAGCAACCGGATCTAGCCTCTTTAGTCCCGGTTGGTAACACTAACCAACCAGGACTAAAAATGGATTTTTACTCCTGGTTATTTCACCCGGGACTAAAGATAGCGATCTTTAGTCCCGGATTCGTAGTCCCGGTTGAAAAACCGGGACTATATAGGGGTTACGAATCGGGAGTAAAAACCACTTCTCTACCAGTGTGTATAGAACACTCTAGTGTGTATAGAACACTCTTGGAGATGCTCAAACATAGAGATAAAAAATAACATAGCATCATATTATTTTTTAATGTGCATGGGTTCTAACTTTGGTTTTCATGGTCCGGTGAAATTTTTTTTGTCCAACTTTGATTTTCATGGTCATAATGTTTGATAAAAGTTCGCTTTGGCCATTTGATTACTAACTTAAAAATTAGGCCCATCTTCTACGCCTTGCTACATCACCGTCCCATTTATTGACCATGAGAAATATAGTATGGGCAAAACAAAGATAAATTAGGTATACATTTACACTAAATCGTAAAATAAACTTTAAGTCATTTTTGTTTGGACGGGGATTGTTTGTAGTAAGACACTAGACACTGACATTAGGGTCCAGGCCCAAATATCAGTCACTTTCTACTGCACCTGCAATATTGGAGAGGAAAAGGGTCCACTTCCATTCTGTTCTAGTTGTGCTTGCTCGGTGAGCTAAGTTGCACATTTTTTTTCTTTTGGAAAAAGCGAAATACCATATGTCCATATACCACCTCCAAAGTTCTTCTGTTTTGACATTAGGGACATTCGGTTTCAATTTTCAAACCCTCTCCGGAATTCAAGTGTCCTAGCTTGCGAATGGCCCTTGTGTTCTGCAAGAATATCGAATACGTTATCTGAAAGTCCCTCTCACCTACCTCTGACAGTTCATTGGATTTCTGTTTATTGGAAATATTTGATGAAGTTAACAAAATTTCCATTTATGTATCATACTGTAAAAAAAATCAGAAAAAGAACAACTATCACCTTTGCAATATTTTTTTTGTTGCAAAACACGTTATCTTTGTATGAGAAGCACATATCACATTCAGAACATTGCAATTGAGAACAAGCCAGCCATTACAGGCTGCTCACATATTACTCATCAAGTACCTTTAAAGAAGAAACAAATGAAATGAACGAGCACAACTTTCAGTCAGTTAAGAAGCTAGTTTCAGTACTATACAGGGATTTGCAACAACCGGAATATATCCGGAATGAAACGATATTACTTGTTAATGTCTTTCAGCATCATCAGATTTGCTATTGCAGTTGCTAGTGCTTCAAATATAACAAGAAATTGGAGGAGAAAAATCAAATGAGTTTCTTCAGACAGGTTTGATTCAGGGTTATGAATTCCGATCAGCCTTGTTGCCACCTGTAACAGGTTTTCCTACAGTGAACCTGGTACCCATGCTCTTCTGAATCATATTTGCTACTGAATTTTGTTTGAAGCTGAAAGATTCCAGAAAATCTGAAAGAAATTTGGGACAAAAAATGGATGTGATTACAGTCTCAAACTGGTTAGGAATCCCTTCGTCAGAAGCATATATGATCTCACATTTGACAGCATTAAATTCAAAATGAGCAAGAAATAAACAGCTAATGCTAAACGATGATTGTACATTCATAGATCAGCCTTTACACCCACAGGTTGACGATCACACTTGTCAGGATCTAATACATGCTAGCATCCGATACAAAAGAAAAGAAAAATAGTCTTGAATACCTAAGGCAACAAGAGCCAAGTGAAACGATGTCAGGAAGCTCCGCGATCATATTTCTTAAGCACCATACTTAGCTTTATACTTTCTTCTAAGCCATTCTAGACGCTCCTCAGCGGTACTCAGAGTCAAGAACATTTCTCTTTGTTCTCTACTGACAAACAACTCAGTTGCAATGAAATGCTCGTCGCTTCCACTCCGTGCTCCACATTCTTGAACCAATGTCATAACATACTGAATGCTGGATCCTAGAGAGCCAACAAGGGAGGTGAAATTCTCAAAAGTGGCCTGTGCTTTCTCGGCCAAATCTGCCATACCCTTCAATTGAGCTTGCATGAGCAAAGCAATTTCAGTCCTACTACTCTTGTTCTTGTTAGCATTATTAGCATGGCGAGGTCTTTTCTTGTTCCGATTCAAGGGAGACTCCTCTTCCAGCTGAGTGTCATCATTATCTTCCATGTCATTGTCTAGTCCGTCAAGATTAGCAACATTTACAGGACTTTCCAGAGTAGATGGCGAACTTGTTGCTGGCACCGGTGTATGATCCACACCGTTACTGGCAATATCATCAAACATCACTCTCAAATGATCCAGATTTTTCATTCCAGCTTTGCGGAATTTTTTTGCACCTGGCAACTCCTGTAAAAAAAAAGGTATCAACTGATAGCATAGTTCACATGGTAAGAAGATATCGAGAAAGCGCAACTATTGCATACTGTATTTGTCTTGTTCCACCAGTTTTCGTCAGCTGCAATTGTTCCTTTTGTACTGTCCCAACCTAAACCTGACCCTCTTATAAGCAATTTCTTCCAGATGGTGTACTCATTCCTAAGTTTATCCCATTTGTTTTTAAGTTGTCTCTTGGTGTAAAGCAAATGAGTTCTCTGCTGAAACTTCAATGCAACTTGGCTGTATCCAATGCTGTTGAGATGAGTACTTGGTCGATTTCCAGCCCGAACTTGTTCAGCATAAAGTTCACAGATAATTTTAGTGTTCTCATCATTCCACTCAGCAGCTTCTGTCATCTGCACTAATAAAATAGATTAGAGTCTGCAATTTAGCATCATACAGTCATGATGAACTATTTGTGTATAAGCAAGAAGTGGTGGAACTCGACACCAAAACAGAGATTAAATCCATGAACTGATGGTCATATACTCTCAAAAGATTGTCCCAAGACAACACTACCATACAAAGATATTTCAGGTTTCACCCTGAACTACGAAAACAAGAAAGGTTGCAGAGATGGAAGGTCTTTCTAGGCTATGTTTTCAAACATGTACACTCTTGAAACCAAAGGAAAGAAGAATCAAACAACTGTAACTAAAAAAATTGTGATATGTCCTGTTCAGATCAATTGAGAACAATAACTAGAACTTCATTTCTTTTGATACCATAATCCGATCTCTATCAAGTCCAAAGGTAAACCTCCATTCAAATGCACAATAATCGCGCAAAGCAGCATATAAGTAAGCAAAACCATACACATGAGAAAAGTAACAAGTGAAACAAAAATCCAAAAGGAAATTCTGAAATGCTCCCCTTTAGTAGGCTCATCACTTGGACCTGTTGGGAACAGGAACCAAGAACCACTTCAATCTGCTACACACACACCCCCTAAACATGATGATGGCACGAAACTCAAACAACAATTCTAGCCTACTAGCTACCACCACTACAAGCAAGAAGCATCAAGCACAAAGACGAATTAATCCATCATTCTTTCTTTGCAAGAAATCAAGTATGATAATTTTGTTCCTGCTGCTGGAAATTTAGGGTGTGCCTCTCAGAAAATAAAGGGGGGAATTCATGTGCGGGACGAATAATAGATGGATGGATGGATGGATACCTTCCGTTCTTGGTGATGAGGGGGGCACCGCGCGGTGCGGGTGGAGGCGGCCGGCGGGGAGACGGTGCAGGGCGGCGGCGGCGGCGGCGGCGCTAGGTCGGGAGGAGCGGTGGTGGAGCTGAGCCGAATTGGGCTCCTGGAGCAGGAGAAGCTGGGGCACAAATGGGCTCCGGCTTCCGCGTGGCTTCTGCGGAGCTGGGCGGTGGAGCCGAGACGTTTGGGAACAGCGGCTCCGGCTTCGGCTCCGGCTCCAGTCGAAATTAAAAGCCATGAACCAACCCAATTAACTGGAATTTCGGGAAAAAAAATATGAAGAGGCTGCGCTGCAAAAATGGCTATGATTTGGGAAAATCATTAATGGAGATATATGAGGTCTTGAAAACATTTTTCAAGTTGAAATGTTTAGTGACTGGTGTAGCTAATAAACTGTTGCAAGTAGTAATAACACATAGTTCAATATTTTCCTTCCATCTTTTTTGGAATGTAAAAGAGGAGGTATCGAAATTTCAAAATAAAAGCCATTATTACAAATAAATAGTTTGTATGCCAAAAACAACATTACGCAACTCTCATAAGTCTTCTCCAGGCCACATAATCTTGTTGGCGACTTAGCATGCAAAATCTGAGCTTTTCATTTTATTCGTCAAATTATTTTAAAAAAAATATATGTTCTATTTTCTAAAAGTAATTTTTGTACTAACATTATTTATTAGACCACTTATTTCAAATTATTTGTTAAGTTTATTTTAAAAAAATATTGAATTTATTCTTATAATTAAATAGCCAGAAAACTAAATTAAACAGAGCATCTTCCCTTTTTAAGGGCTTGTTTTTATGACTATAAATCACTTCTATTTTTCATCATGAGGTAAATACCTTTGTTCCTTCGTACTTTACCTGAAGTAATAATCTCTACTACTTAAAAAATCTGTAGTGGTGGTCTTGATTCCTGACATAGCAGACGCATCTAACAAACACGTCTAATCTCAACCATCCGATTTTCATATCCAATGGCGTCAAATCTCCTCCCATCGCTCCTCTCCTCATCACGCGCCACGCCCACTCCTTTCCCCACGCCGCGTCCTTCGCCCTCCTCCCTGCGTCGCCTCCTCGTGGTCTTGAATCCAACAGATCAGATCACAATTCAATCTTCCGCACGCGCCCCACGCATCGTCGATCGCACGCGGCGCGCACACACACCCCTTTCCCCCGATTTTCTCTCCCTCTCAACGCCGTCTCCCATCTCTGTTTCCTTCGCGTCCGCCTCCTCCGCCCCGCACCAAATCTTCGCCTCCTCTTCTCCCGCCTCGCCGGCGCATGGCGGCTGAGGGTGAGGGCAGGCTGGCAGCTGATGAAGGCACACTACGACCCAATCTCCGGCTCGTCGACCGCCTCCACGCACGCCCCGCCCCCGATCTCCGCCGCCTCTTCTCCCGCCTCGACCGCCTTCACGCGCGCCGCCGGAAGCCAATCTCCTCGGCGCCACCCCATTCTGTGAGTAGTCCGCCTCCTCCGTCCGGCCCCCTATCTCCGCAGCCTCTTCTCCCGCCTTGCAGGTGCCCTCCAACTCAAGAGGGCTGAGGGCGAGCACGGTGGCGCATGGCGACTGAGGGTGAGTGCAGCTGACGACGCCACATGACGAACCCAACCGGCTGCATGTTATCTTCCCCCCAAACCCTAAAATTTCCCCATCTCTTTCTACAAATCCATCTACATGTTTTCAGATCGGGGATTTTGTCCTTTTAGGCGTGTTAAATTTCAAACATGGGAATTAGAGATCGGGGATTTTGTCTTTGCCTGCCATGTTTGTACAAATTATGCTAAATGGACAAATGAGAACACTAGGACAGCTGCTTGTGTAGAGACTGAATGACACTGTTGCATAACACTGTTGCTGGATCTCCTCTCTCTTGAGACAGGGTTATCTTTAAATCAGTGCAAGTACGTACTGTGTTCTCAACAAGAATTGAAAACCCAAATATGGATTTAGTTGGGCATGATGTGTCCATTAAGGTAAGCGATCACCCACATAACCCCCACAAATAATAGCTTCAGAACAAGTAGATTGTTACATCTGAAGAAATATCATATCACTCCTGGGCATATATTCCATATGGACAATATGATCGAACTTGTGAAGCATCAGACATGCAGAATTAATTTTTTTCCCCTTATTTTCTTGATTTTGCTGCAATTATAAGTAAGCATTGTTAGTATGATCCCATGGCGTGTAATAGCAGTTCTGAACTGATAGATACCTGCACCCTCAAGAAAATGGTTTCTACCGTCAGAGTAACAGGTCAGGGTCATGCTAATTAATACTCCTTCTCAAATGAATTTTTATCTCAAACAGTCTCAATTCAAAAAAAAATCAGTTCATCAGTTTGTCAAAAATTGTCGCTGGATGGATCGGTTTTAGCATTAATATTGAAGCAAATAAATGCATAGGTGAATTAGATTTTTTTTTTCTCTATAAGGATATTTTGTGCCACTTGCTTTGGTTGTCGGTTAGTTCATCCATGAACTCGGTAGGGAACTTGTCTAAGCAACCAATGGTCAATTTTCTCATGAAGCAGTCTTTTTTTCTTACCAGTTAAAATGTTTCCAGCTACAACAAATACTCAGGTTTCATTTCATTGCTCAATTTCAGATCATTTGTCGAGGTTGGAATTGCTGCGGGATCAAGCGAAGCCTCGTCAGGCCATGCCCTCGTCTCATTCCTCAGTTTATAGAGTCCATTCCAAGCAGGTACAATATACATCCTCGGAACAAATAAATGTATTTGGTTTTATAAGAAAAATTAGTTTGCAGTGCATCAGTGATCCTATATTCCTGCTTATTGGAGTACATACATATATGATTATTGGCGTTCATCTGTGATCAGTTCCCTAGGTTTAGATCCATTGTGTTATTTAGAATTAGAATGGTCATTTATTCAGGGGGCTTTGACCTGTTAGTAACCCGAGTCAAGTCATGGCCTAATTAACTGAATGAATGATTTCAGACTCAAGAAAATTGAAAATAATCTACGCATCTTATCTTATGAAAATAGTATGGGAAAGAGCACAGGAAAATAATCTATCTGAACTATACCAGTTTGTAGCGTGGGAATATGTTATACTCAGTTTTGAGGGTGTACCACGGTAACTAATGATTCACAGCTGCTTTCCTCCAGGGTGAACCCTCACTTTGCTGGTTGGCTTTCAGCCGTGGATTAGCAACTGGTTCATGTTCTGAAATTTTTATACTAACCATCCTCAGTCTGTAGTATTTGAAATCAATCTTTCAGTTTGTTCTGAAATTTTTATACTAACCATCCTCAGTCTGTAGTATTTGAAATCAATCTTTCAGTTTGTTCTGAAATTTTATGCAGAATATAACCAATGCCAGTATTTTGGAATGAGCGCAGAATTGATCCGTCACTTCTGAAGAAACTCCGTTACTTAGCAGAAGCAGAGGCCACAACCTGGCAGCGGCTGGTCACTTCAGCGGTCTCCAATTGCCTTTGAATACGCCAATGGTAATTTCAAAAATCTCCAAGTAGTCCACTAATTTTATTACTTACATTTTTTTTCATCTAAAGCAAAATTGAAAACATATGTTTCCTTGTAATTCTAAATTTGACTGCACATATTTTGATTTTTGATGAGTACTGCTCGATAGATTCAAAACGGCCATGAGTTTTTTTTTTGAGTTGAAGTGGCAAGAGCATTGCCGAATATATTAGACGAATAGAGTTCACCCTGTTTATAAGGAAAACCGGGCCCAAAAAACATACAACTGCCCGGTTTGCTAAAGTGAAACCGGCGAAAACCTTACACAGAAGACACAAAAAGCCTGAGACAAGACAACTACGAACTGTCGGAGGCCGAGGGATGAGCAAGACCGTAAGATGAAATCTCCAAGGAGGTGAATAACGACATAAGCCGCTGTCGACGTCCGTCCAAAAACTGGGCTGGTTTTCACCCAGGGGGGAGGGAGTCCACAAGGCAACACCTCCAGGGAGGAAACGGCACCCGTGGGCGTCGATATTGCCAATCCTAGAACAGGCAGGGCATGAGGTTTTTGGGAACTAGCAATTATTGATTTTGATTGTTGATGATGAAGAGTTCTGACTATCTACATGGGTTAGTTTCTTGTTCAACAAATTCAGGAAATAGTTTCAGCTCATCAGAAGTTTGCATCGATGTCATCCCTTCTAGCCATCTTCTGTGCATTTGCTTGGAACATTTGGTTCTGCACTACCGTTGACTATAAAATACAGCTCAACAGAGCTTTATTTTCTCACATTTCTCATAACAAGTTGGATATGGAAAACCATCAACTCTGAATAGGAGATAGCGAGCTTTGGAATGATTCTGAGATAGCTCCATTTTTTATCTTGTCTGAACTTTGGCTGTGAGCTCAAATGATTAAATCAGTATCTTTTTCATTTTTTTCAGCCACTGAATACTTTTTAATAGTTTTCTATTATTCTATGGATAATGCTTGTGTGCATGCTTATGATGGATTGCTAATTGTTTTACACGTGCATAATAACTGTAATTAACTGGGGGAGTGCTTCTTGAGGTAGATGGAAAGCTTTGCTACTTTTGAAGAAAACGAGTGGATAATAGAGAAATTGGGTGAGACATCATTTATTCTGCGCAACTTTGAGAACTGGCTGAGATGTAAACCTGGGAAATATAGTCATCCCGTGTGAATAACACAAATGAGCTTCGAAGGACAAACATCATGCCATTGGGTCAGTTCTGCAGTTAAAGATAGTTGTCTGAAATTGATGAAGTTCTTGACTGCAGGTTGTCTTTTAAGCAGTTTGTAGCTTAATAAACGGTTGTGCAGGTGCCATGGTCATACTATTGATCCTGTTAGAACAAACAAGATAAAATGGATGTGCCCAACAACTAGACAATACCACATAACTTATGATATTACCGATAGTGATGCGAAAATCAGGGAATAGACAGTATTGTTTCTTCTTGATTCAGAAGGCGTTCTCCAGCTTTCAGCAAGCCTCATCTTCTATTGATTTTGGCATGATTGAGCGAACGAAGTTAACCTCGCTAAATGAAGGTACCCACCGCTATAGACTGTAATGATACTCCCTCCGTACTTATAAAGGAAGTCGTTTAGGACAATGTTTAAGTCAAACTTTAGGAATATAAATCATAAATAACTCTTAAGTTGTTGAATTTGAAAATAAAAAAATTATATGAATAGATTTGTCTTGGAAAATACTTTCATAAAAGTGTGTGTGTGTGTGTGTGTGTGTATATATATATATATATATATATATATATATATATATATATATATATATATATATATATATATATCACTTTTCAATAAATATTTTTATAGAAACAAGAAGTCAAAGTTATGTTTTGGAGACCGTGTCACTGTCCTAAACGACTTCCTTTGTGAGTATGGAGGGAATACACATTAGTTACTAAATTTTCAGAGGCTTTTGCCTTAACTTTGTTCAAAATATAATGGAGAACTCTGTTAACAGGACTCGTAATGGGGTAATGTTGACGTCACTCAATGAAGCTACATGGGTCTTGCATAAAGGGATTGATCAGCTTTTCTTTTATGCTTGCTCATTGATGAAATGACAGGCATTAGGCCTTTTTATTTTCAAACATTTAATTTGCTAACATTGATGCCGTGTACCCTTAGTAGTATTATTATATAGTAGAACATTATTTATATCATGTTCTTTGGGGACAAATTTACACCGAGTGATTATTTCACCTGGTGTGATTTGAAATTGAGGCATATTCTTTTTCCCGTTGCAACGCACGGGCACCCAACTAGTCAACAAAAGAATTATTCAATATATATAGAGAATGCAAATTATCACACATTAGAGCTCATTTAGAATGCTGGAATTTTACAATAATTTCACAAGAAAAGTTTAATTCCCACAAAATACTTGCAATTGATCCCCCTTTCTTTTCGCGAACGCACCAAAGGATTGCACGTCAGTATATTAGAAAAAAGCAGAGTTTTTGTTACACAACGTAACCAGTCAGACGACCATTGCATGTGGATAAGGGAACAAAGAAAGAAACAAAAAGACTGCTAAAGTAAAAAACTACCAAAAAAATGTTGCTCCTAAATAGATGGAGGGTGGTGGCGAAGCTCCACTACACTCCTAATAAACCCCTAAAAACAGCGACGCCAGCAGAAGACCACAAACGGTCTTCCTGTAGGATGACTTTCAGAACCCTTGAGAGTGAGGAAAGAGAGTAATCAAAAACCCTGGAGTTTCGCCCCTTCCACAACTGCCAGAGACCAGGAGAATTAGAGAGTCGAAACCCACACGAAGATGCTCAGGTCGACATGCCCTAGAAGTCAGCCACCAGAGTCATATATAAGCCACGGAAGCATACGCGCGGTTACACTTTCAAAAAAGTTTAGTGGCACATTACAATTTATTTGGTGTATTGCCTTGTGTTAAAGGGGCACACTTGTGGATGTACGTGCAGTGTGCATGGTGGTTATGTGCATGGGCCATCGTGTAATTGCGAAAAAAGTCATATAAACCTGCATTGTACACACAAAATGGTGCACATATGTACAAAATGAATCCCCAAAGGTGACACAATTAAGCATGCATGCATGCACGTAAAACATAAGTCAAATATATATGTTTTACTTAGTTTAATTTGATCCCAAATGAAGAAAAATACTCATCACTCATCAGTACACACTTCTGATAGATTTAGCTTCTTAATTGGGCACAGCTAACTAGCTAGCTCTGCCCATTTGGTCTCTCCAATTCTCCATGAGATAATTAAGTAGCAATTTATAAGGGATTAACAAAATGCAGCAGCACACAAATACTATATATATAGCCACATCAGTAGTGTCTGTCTGCATAACAGCATAAGATATAGAAGATGAGCTGATCATCATATCCATGGCAGCAGGCCGGTGCAGAATGAAGTTCATGAGGTTCAGAAGTGAGGAGGCGGCGCGTCGGCGGCGGCGGCGCCGGGAATGGCAAGGTGGTGGTGGTAGCCGAGGTTGAGCTCGGTGGGGATGATCTGCTGGCGCTGCGCCGCCACGGCCTGCACCTGCGCCGCCGCCTCGAACAGGTTCAACGGGAAGAAGCACTTCATGTCCAGCTGCGCCGCCGCCACCGCGAACGGATTCTGCTGCTGCTGCTGCGCCGCCGCCGCAGCCTGCAGCTCCATGGCGGCCGACCGGGCCACCGTCACCTGCTGCAGCTGCTGCTCCTCCTCAGCAATCTGCAAGTGTGCACATGATCTCTCATCAACGTATAGTAGAGATAGATGTGTCGTTGATGTAGAGATATATTGTTCTTTTCGTCAAGCTTTATAGATTAATTAGCTAGCTATTTGTTCAAATTAATTTAAACAAATAGCTAGCTAATTAATCTCTGATTTGCAAACAAGAAATTGGAAGTTGGTTCTGATTTCTTGCAGTCACCTGATATGTATTTACCTTGGTTCTGAGGTCCATGTTGTCGTTCTGAAGCTCAATCTCCTGAAATCATGACAAGAACATTGCAAATGAGTAATGCTAACAAGAATTATGCAATCAGGTAAAAAGAATAGAGGATTAAGAAAGGAGTTTGCAATCATTGATCAGTATGTACAATTGTATGTAAGATGCAATTCTAGTAACACACATACCCTTTTGGCCATGTAATTGATCTCTGAAGCCAGCAGTTCATTCTGAGATAAAATTAAACAAATAAGGATTAACAGTTAATTTGTACATTTTTAAGGCCACTTAGTAAGTTAACATTGCATCAGAAACTGAAGAATTGTTCAAACAAAGTAAATCAAGGTGATCATATATATCTAACAGCACTGAGATTTTGTTCTAAAGGTGACACCATGAGGTTGGTAATTGAATGTTCATGTGAAAATGGTATTTTATATATAGTTGTTTACCTTCCTGGCTCTGATCTTTGAAATGCCTTTCTCCAGGCGGCTTTCAAGTTGCTTCAGCTCCTTCAGTGACAGGTTGCTCACATTATCGCCAACCAGGTGCCTTTCACATAGGAAAACAAACCAAACGAAAATAGGTATTTCCAGGTCATCACATTGATTCTGTAAAGTAATCTCTTTTCAATATTATCATCGATATATACACATGTGTTTCTTGAATGGCAGATATAAAAATTGTGTATTAGTATTAGGCACTTACTTGTTGGTGTTTTGCAGCATCTGAATCTGGTGGCGCAGTTTGGCAGACTCCTGCTGGTAGTATTGCTTCAGACAAGACAATTAACAAGACGATCGATCAGATTTAATTACGTTTATCATGTAGCTCTAATTGATCAGCAAAAAAAAAAAGTAACAGTAACCTTAATTGTAGTGCAACAGAATGACTGCATTCATGCTTTTACATTGAAGTTTATTTTGTGAATTTTGTTTGTTCTCTTCAGTCACTAACTTTAAATTGCAAGCCACTAGCCACAAAAGGGTACACTTACAGTTTCTAAGAAAAGTATACTCTTAAACTCAGAGAAAGACAAATATATGGAGAACTTCAGTGCAGAATTGCAGACTAGGCATTAGGCAATCTCCAAGTGGTTCACATACTACATTAATTATGAATTCAATCTTGTCGTAAAGATTGATGCTGTATAGCTATAACACATGAATGTATATAAGCACAAAGATCAAGCCATACCCTGATGAAACTAACAAATTAATATAATGCAGCAGTCAATTACCTACCACAAAAAGTATATAAAATACTTAAAATGCAAGGCATCTATATGCTCTCACTTTATATGTATGAATATGCCTTGGTTTTAGAATAGTCACCAAATTAATTTAACTGAAACTAAGGCAAAATGAATAGAAGAAGGTAATTAACAAAGCAGCAACATATATATGGGTTACCTGAGCATTGACCTCTATGAGAGGTGCACCAGAAGTTGAGCCACAAGCATGCGCCTTCTTGTACCTGTCAATTGTAGCCTTCACACTGCAGTATATATCCCATCAGTCGAGTGGTACTCTCTCAACACTACAACATAAATACTGATAATTGTGCATGCATGGTAATGTAGTGTGTTCATATATGCCAACAAGAGAAGAAATGCAACACACATGACTATACATGTCATGAATGCAGAAATAATGCATGTGAGGAGCAAGCGTTTAATTACTTCAGCATAAAATTGTGCAGAAGAAAGGTAGCCATTGGAATGCATGCTGTCTCTAGCTGCAAGAACTGTGTTGAAGTGAACACAAGAACGGAATGAAATGAGTATACACGAGCTAGAGAGAAAGAGAGATGGTCAGATGGATGGCCATTGGCTTATTAACTGATGCACAACTTTGCACCGGAGAAGAGCAAACACAGCGAATATGGGAGGACGTTGCTGCAGTTTCTAGCTTGGTGCAAGTTCTTCTCATGCATGTCCATGGTGTCTATATGTGTATCGGTGTATGGAGAAGCAAGGAAAAGGAAACTCTTGACAGCTAGTTTCTAGGGTGAACTATCTACTGAACATACAACATTGACAGGAGACTGAGCTTCCTTGCTGTGCATGATATGATGTGTGTTGTGTGAACTGTGGAGAATAAAATATGATAAAAGATGGCAGTGGCTTTGCTAGCTGCTCAAGTACTGATAGCACTGATATATATTATTTAAAGTTTGCATGCATGCATACTCATGTACATGTACTCGAGAGAGATTGCAAATGAATTTGACATGTATAAAAACAATGAGACTTTGCAAACTTTAAATAATTATTTGACTGCATGCATGAATGAATTGGAAGGGGATTCTAATGTATCTTTCAAATAGCCTCCCCTTAATATGTGTGTACATATCTAATTCACACATCTCACTTTGAAAATGATGAGCAATAGCTAAGGAATTTTCCATGGAGGTTAAGAGAGTAACTTTATTTAGATACAAAAACAATATAATCATGCATGCATGACAAATCACCATATATAGTACCATGCATATAGTTTGAAATAAATCTTACAATTTTATTTCGTAATCTGAGTAGATGATAACTGAAAAAAGTAAGCAAGTCTTGTTACATGCACAGATGAAATTAAAGTCCATGCATACATGGTTAATTCTTTCCAGCAAAATCAATTTAGCAAGCAGGATATATAAATGGACTTTAGTAAAGCCTTCTGACCATAAGACTAAGAAAATTAGAACAGAATAGTCCTTTTTCAAGTAACTAAACAGGACAACATTTTCAGCATTAATCTTACAGCTAGCTGATGAGCAAACATATACATCTTGATGAGTTTTTATGATAAACTCTAACATTTTTCCTAAATCATTTCACACCTTGAGTTAAGTAATTCACATATCATCTAAGAATGTGTATAATATTAAACTCATTCTAAAATATTTACCAAGAGTCAGTTTTAACCACAACTAAACTTTTACTCAATAACAAACTATTAGCCACAAATAAAGCAACACAACAAGCACGCTGAGCATGAAATGACACGAAGGGAAACAAAGCAATCAGCAAGTTAGTTTCAAGAACTGAGTACAAAATTAAGCCAATATATTTACAGCAAGTACATACTTGTTGTTGTTGGAGTACTCGTAGAGGCGGCCACGGCTGGAGAAGACGATGAGAGCCACCTCGGCATCGCAGAGGACGGAGAGCTCATACGCCTTCTTGAGAAGTCCGTTGCGGCGCTTGCAGAAGGTCACCTGGCGGCTTGTCGTGTTCTCGATCCTCTTGATCTCAATCCTGCCCCTCCCCATGTCTTCTTGCTCTCAACTGATCAACAAAAAAGGAGACCAGAGATCAGATCAAAGAACAGCAAAAACATTGCATGAGAAGTTTGATAGATGCAGAAGAGAGAGTACTGATGAAAGATCTGGTAATGATTAAAGAACAGCACAAACTCTCAGCTGATTAAAAAAGAGAGAGAGACCGGATTAAAGAAACAACTAAAACTTGCATGAGAAATTGATAGATGCAGAAAAGAGACTGATGAAAGATCTAGTAGTGATTTACAGTACTACATCACACGCTGATCGATCTAAGAAATTAATGAATTCAACTATACTGAGAGATCTGAGATCGTGATTCACATAGTATGTGTATAAAGTGATCGATCTAACAAATTCAAGCATGTTTTATACATGTAAATCCAAAAGGAATAAGAAACCAGCTATAGCTAAAGAGGGGTAAAACAAGAGAAAAAAGCTGAACTTTGAAAGAAAAAGATGATTTTTGCTCATAAAAAAGAAAGAAAAAGATGATGAAAGACTTGGCGGATATGGATCAAATTTGGAGACTGGGACAATATCTATCCCATCATTTGACATAAGCAAAGCTCAATCATCGCCTATTTAGAAAGGAGCCTAGATGCAAGTATAGAGTGATCGAGTAAACAAGATCTAGCAAAAGTAGTCTCAAGAAACAAAACTTTCAGATGTGCAGAGATTGCTCGAAATAATGAAGGGAAGAAGCGAAAAAGAAAGCTCAAAGAACCAGATGGGTAGATGAATCAAGAAGGATAAGATGCAAGAACAGCACGTCTCCACAAAAAGGAAAAAAAAGAACCAACCAAATCTGAAGAATCATGTTTAAGAAAGCATGGAAAAGCTAGCAATTTCGATTTGCTTAACTAACTATCTTAACATATCTAGCTAAGAATTGACCAAAGAAAACTCATCACAAAGTGAGAAGCAAGAGGTCGGCCGCAGGAAACTAGCTTCTTCCTTTTCTCCTGTCTCCTCACAAGATCAAAGATCTGCCTAAGGCAAGAAGAGAAATTTCAAGAAAGAACGAAAAAACTGAAACCTTCCAAAAGAAACCAGGATCACTGGGCCGGAAAGAATCCTTGCTACATAAATAGAGAAAGAAGCTAGGAAGAATTTCCAATCTGAACAAAGAAGCATCAAACTGGAAGCCAAGCATCACAGTTTCTCTTTGCAAGAACTCGAAGCACAGGAAAAGGGTTTCTTTTCCTCAAAGAGAGAACATACAAACTTGAATCTAAACTGCAGCTGAATCAGTGCCTTAACAAAGAACTCTACACACACCCAGATAACTAAAACACATTAGCACGCAAAGAGATATATAACCTAGCTAAAATTGGTCCTGAAGCTGATCTGATCTTTCTTTCTCTACCTTCGTTTCTTGGAGTAGGAAAGGAGAGCTCCAGTTGGTGGGTTTTCTGCTGCTGTGTGAGGTGCAGAGGATTAATAGGAGAAGGCAAAGGGAAAGCAGGAAAGAGAGGAAGAAGGGCTAGCTAGCTAGCTTAGCTGCAAAGGCCACTGGCCTTCTTTGCTATCTTGCTTACCCATTTATAGCTATTTAGACATCTTTACATGTATATTCTTTAAGCAAGAATTTATAACCTCTCCTTTTTTCTATCTTGTGTAATTTGTGCCTAGAAACACTGATCTGCAGAGAGGTATTTAGTTGTTTGTACTTTGTAGGCACTGCTAAAGTATGTTTAGAGATTGGTCGATGTCCAGAAGGCTGGAGTTATAAGCAACCTAGCAAGTTATGAAAAAAATAAGCAACTGATCATCCCTTGTTATGTGTTTAGTACATCTGCAGAATAACTGAAGTCAACTTGCCGGTTAATTATCATATATGCATGCCTAGCTAGTTCTTGCAAATGTTGTGTGCTTAATTTTGGAAGAATTAGTTATATAGGTGCTAATTCTAGAACTTGATTAGCATGGACACATTAAGCAGCCTTTTTATATATATATATATATATATATATATATATACATACTTGCTGCCCTAATTAGATAGTAAGATGACTTGCTAATCCTGACATAAATCGACAGCTGGTTCAAATTGGCATAGTACAACCTTCCAAGTATTTTTTGTCTATCCTTGGTTTCAATTTCCTTGACATGGAGAGGAAAGATACATATGTTGCCTATATATGCATGCACAGAAAACCATACATACACTGCATCACACTGTTGCATTCTTTCTAACACACAGTGTATATGCAGCTTCTGAGTAACTTGTATTCAACTCATATATATCCATTTATTATCTTATTAAAAAGTACTTTTTTGTTGCATGAATACATGCATTGTCTAGTAATGTGGCAGTTCATTTCCTAGCCATGCATCTGCAATGCAAACCAAGTGGTAGCTACTAGATGCTAGTTGGCTAGCTAGTTCCAATTGCTTGGCAATTCACATGCATATATATATGAAGAACACACCAACCTCTCCTAGCTTGCAAAAGCTCACTGTAATATATAGCTAGTACAGCACAGATAATATGAGGCTGCAGTGACATGGCAATATATGCAATCCCAAACCCTATCTCCATTGCTACTTGCTATAGCCTCTCTTGCTCTCTCTCTTACTCCCTTGTGATGCAAATGCAATAGCCAGCAGCATTGACTGCTAGCTGTGTGTACTGCTGCATGCTTGCCATTCTTGTTGCTGTTGGTGGCCAGGGAGGAGAACATTTCTCTCCATGCTTGTTTCAGCTTTCAGATTGAATGCATGGTGCCAAATAAATTAAATACTTGAAAGCCTAACCTGGAAGGTTGCAAACTTGCAATCACGTTGTATATATTTTGATGTTAGCATATATTTAGCACTCCAATTAACTCCATTAGTTTCTTTGTTAATTTTTTTATTTTCTTTTTTTAGAGAAGGGTATTTTTGTTGTTAATTAGTTTCTAGTTAATGTCCCAAATTATTCTGTACTCTGACCAGTAGTTGCATACTTGCATATGACTGGTCACACTTATTCAGATCACTTCTTGTCAGGGAACAAAGCTAGGAGAGAAACACATATCATCTCACTTTTCAGAAAAATAAAGATGCCTGAATTTTTTTTGACTGATCATATAATTCAATTCCCCATTGTCTTGCTCAATGAATTAAAGTTGTGTGTGTGAGAGAGAGAGAAGGTGCAGGGAAGGTAGAGAGGGTGAGAAAGGGTGTGCAATGGGTGGTCAGTGTCGATTTGCCAGGTTTGGGTCGGCAGCACCTGATCCGGCGCCATAAGCCTTCCCACAGGCAGCACTCCTCTTTGGTGCTAAGCTCTCTCCTTTCTTTTCTTTGCATCCAACCACTAAGCTAGCTAACCTACTTGATGCACTGCACTACAGTACTGCAGCTTCCCATCAGAATCCATGTGATATATATCTCTCTCTCTCTGCTGCTCTATCGTCGATCGGATGGAGATGGATGAGATATATATCTTGTGTTCTTGTGCTATGGTGTGGTGCAAAGCATCATATTATATATACTGCATGATGACAGCTATAGTACAGATTAAAGCAAAAGCATGAGTACTTGTGTGATGTGACATGAGGTGATATAGTAATTAGCTTATTAAAAGTTTTCTCCATGACTCTTCTGTAGATGTTGCAATCTACTAAGACATAAGTGCTAAGCCTAACATGATCACCCTAATGCGGAATTTAGGATTACTGACTGTTGTTTGAAGCCATTGCAATTGTTCTCGCTTGGTCCGGGGTGGATGTAGAGGATGCAGAACCTCGAATCACCTCGCGAATTGTCGGTGTAGGAGAAGTGGTCGTAGCAGTGAGTACACCGGCTTGATCCCAAAGAGGTCGCCGGCGATCACCTGCGGGGTGGCGGCGGCCTTCCGGTCGCCACCTACACTATCCCGGAACAGCACTACGAATCCCTTCCAGCGCAACTGAGAATCGGGAGATTAGGGTTTTGGGATGTCGGGGAGATTGGAACCGTGAGTGAGATCGTCATCTTTCTCACAGGCCGGCCTCCCCTTTTATTTTGCGCTGAGGGAATCGGGGGCTGCTCCAAAAGGAAACGTTGGAAGCGCTACCGATTATTGCGCGTGCAATTAAGGAAATTTAATCGTGATTTGATTTAGCTAATCACGCTGGTTAACGGGTGGAAAACGGTAACGCATGATTTTCTCCCGATTTCCTTAGCCGAGAGATTAATTTTCCTAACATCTTCTAATTAGGCTTGTTGGTCATAAGTGGTGAGCTCATAACACTACAGGATGGAAGGGAATTGAAGGCGCTTCCACGCAGGCATTCTAATGAAAACACCTACAATAGTTGATTTACAAGGCGTTTGTTAGATAACGCCTGCGAAACTGATTACTTAGAAGGCGTTTTGGTAAAAATGCCTCAAAAGAAGGAACAATAGAAGGCATTTTGCAAAACGCTAGAATATCTCATGTTTTTTAGGGCGTTTCAAAAAAACGCCACTAACTTTAGACGGCGTTCCGGAGAGAAATGCCTTCAATATTATGTATTATTTTTAAATAAGACCCTAACAGATTTGTTATTTAGTACATAACCCTTCCACCTGATCGATCTCTCTCTTACAGTTAGATCAAGCCCTTCAGTTAAAAAGGGGATCGAGCATTTGCGCGGCGGCCCTCCATCCCCGCCGCCACCCATCCTCGCCGCCGCCGCTGCCGCCGCGGCACTCACCATCCTCACCGCTCCACGCCCCCAACTTCGCCGACCGCTCAACGCCCCGCTCCATGCCCTAACGTCATCTCCGTTCCACCATTGAAGCCTACAGATCGATCGTCGGCGAGAGCTCGCACGATTCGTCGCCACCGCTGCCACTAAACCGTGCGATTCACGCCGCCGGCTGCTCTACCGCACAAGAGGAGCTCTGCGCCAAGCGCCATCGCCAGGAGCACTGCTTTCTCTCAGTCGAGGGTGCCATAGTCATCATGCTGCCCTAAAGGTGTTTGTGTTATGAGTAAATTTCACAAAACTACATGTATTTTGCACAATTTATCACAAAACTACAGATTTAAGAGCTTGTTTCACAAAACTACAGATTTAGTTTCTTCGTTTATCACAAAACTACAAGTACTTTGTACAATCTATCACAAAACTATAGATTTAAGAACTTGTTTCACAAAAATATAGATTTAGTGTATTCGTTTATCACAGTGCTACACATTTAGTGTCTTTATTTATCACAAAAGTACAGATTTAGTGTCTCCATTCTCACAAAACTACATGTTTTAGCATTGTTAAAATGTGTAGTTTTGTGAGAATGGAGACACTAAATCTGTAGTTTTGTGATAAATGAAGATATTAAACATGTAGTTTTGTGAAATAAGTTCTTAAATATGTAGTTTTGTGATATATTGTTCAAAGTACATGTAGTTTTGTGATAAACAAAGACATTAAATCTGTAGTTTTGTGAAACTAGTTCTAAAATCTATAGTTTTGTGATAGATTGTGCAAAGTATATGTAGTTTTATGAAGTTTACTCTTGTGTTATTGTCCACATGAGTTTTTCTACCTGTTCACCTGATTATAGATGCAGTAGTGCGATAACTTTAATTTTGCCATGTTGTTTGTGTTTGCATTGTTTATAACTTAGTTGATCAATTTTCTCAGGTTTGGCTGTACTAGACGTGGGAGAATTTTTATATTATGTTTGCAGTAACAACACTAGTTCTCTCCATTTGGATTAAATATGATAATTTTTGAGAATGTTGGGGAATCAGGGTTCATGGTTATAATTGACTGAGATCAATCAAATGCTTCGATTATCTACAATTCAGGGTTCATGGTTGCTCTTGAAAGGTATCACAATACTCTGAAATATGATTTACATATGTTTCTCTTAGTTAGACATATAGCATTGAACAAATAAATTGCACAAAAGATACTGTACTCAGTGGATTCAGATTGCACCTTCTTTCAAAGTACGTATGTTGCATGTTGTGTGAACTAAAAAACTTTCATACTCCAAGTCTGTAGTGCAATGTAGGTTTATATTTCTCCTTAACCAAGATAGTTTATATTGGTTAATACACTGTCTTCAGTAGATCCAGACCAAGCTACCAATCGTTCTTGCTGTGATCCTTCGAGCATTTGCTCTGTACCTGTTTCCAGTGGATTTTAATTATAGGCTACAGAAGATTATTCTTGCTGAAGAAGTGAAGATGTTTCAGACCAAGTTCGTTTTCACCTTTCTTCTAGGCAGGTGAGT